GAGCTCACTTGGTAGCCCAGGCTGGCCTCGAACTCACAAAGATCCGCCTGCCTCTGCCTCCCAAGTGCTGGGATTAAAGGCGTGCGCCACCACGCCCAGCACAAGAAAGATCTCTCTTAAATGTATCTTTTGTTTAATTTTGGTTTTTGCTTGATTTGTGGCATTGAGACAGGATCTCACTGTGTAGCTCTGACTGACTTGGAATTCAATATGTAGAGCAGGCTGGCCTCAAACTCAGAAGTCCTCTCAAGTTCTGGGATTACAGGCATGTACCCCTGTGCCTGGCCTACCCACATCTTATGGTGGAATCCTTTGTGACCTTTGACAATGACCATGTGGAGGTAGTGGGGAGAAAAGCTGCCTGAAAAGTGGCAGTTCTGAGATGTGGTGTGATGGATGAAGCTGACAGAGAAAAGGATAGACCTCGGTCTGCTTTCTTAAAAATGAAGCTGTTCTTTTCTGAATTACTCAGTAACTGGTAGTAGGAGAGGGCGTGTCAGAGGTCACCAGGCTAAAGCAGAAACGGGATAACCTTGGACCTCCATCAGGTCTAGTGAACGATCAACAGTCGTTCAACTGTTCCTGTTTTAAGACATGTGAAACAAAATCTGCCTCTGGGCTGTCACGATATGCCAAATGTCCAAAGTCATTTTAATGATCAGACTTGCTTGCTGTGTTGTTTTATTTAGCATTGTTACAGAGTACATGATAAACAGCTGGATAACTCAAATATAACAAAATATATTTCTTTCATAGGAAAACTCAAGGAGAAGAAATATATACGAGTATTCAGATTTTCAGAGTGAAATGCACAGTCTTCAGCAGACACCCAGCTATATGGGTTTGCAAACTTCATATTGTAAGCCCTATCCGGATTGCACCAGTAGAGATACAATCAGGAAGCCAAGGTCTCCAGTTCAGTACAGATATACTTCCACCGGTGATATGGGTGTCACAGACTTGGAACGTCCTCCAGGACTTTGGCCTGCAGTTTTCCAGTTGACTCTCAGTGACGAGATGAAGGCAGAGGTGTACTACTACGGACTCACTATAGTTTTCCTGCTGATATTAGTTTGTCTCGCTTTGTATCTTCTCTGATGTCAAATAAATCAGTTGTTTTCTTTATAACCAATTCTTCAGGATTCCATCTCTTCACAGGTGTGTCTCATTCTTTCTTTAGGGTTTTCTCACCAACATTTTCAAAGTAATTGGCTTAAAGAGAGAGAGAAAGAGAGATAATATATTTTAACAAAATTTTGGATACACTCTTAAGAATTAAAATAGTATTTTAAGTTACTATTGGCTTTTTATTAGAAAATATTTCACTATATACCTTTGAAATACTTTTAAGATCACCAAGAAATCCAGATGTAAATCTTTTTGATCAAAGATAATTTGAAAATTAAGATATATAGAAGAATAACTTATCCCACAGGAAACTGCCATAGTTTCATTAAATAGAGAACAATACATTTTAAAAGCTTTAGGCAACCTAATACACTACAGATCCAGTTTCTAGGACACACTCCCCAGAGTGAGGCACACTTTATGAAATGTGACGGACAAGTGGCTTACCTTACTACAATAGGGACATTCACCAAAGAGGACGTTAAAGCTCTGTCTGCTGGTGCTCAGCCCCCTCAGCCACTGCATGGAAGAAAGCGTGGGGCAGGTCAGTGAGTGCACACATGCCGCTCCAGATTTACTCTAATTTTGTTTTATGAAAGGGAAACCTTTTCTGAGCGCAGGCCCAATTACTGCTATAGTGAATAATCGGGAAGACTTCTAGTGTATAAGCAAATTATGGGCCCTTTCAGACCTGGCTGACAATTACACACTTACATGCAAAACAGACACACAAAGACTCATACAGGTTCCTATGGTTCACATATCTATGCCAATGAATCACATGTCAACAATTTCTCTATAAAATACATCTTAGGATTTTGAGATTTTGATCTTAACAAAAAATCAAAGCAATTTCCACTGCACTGATTACAAGTATGAGGCAACAGTTTTGAAAAATTAAAATGAACATTCACTATTGTAAAATAAAGTAGAGATTCCATTAGAATTTCCCAAGTGGACCTGGTAATGTTATGACTGTCTAAGGTGAAATGACTGTCCCTCAGTTGCCTATCAAGAAAGGGTAAACGGTACCAGCTACTCTACCTACGTCAGAAGAGAAAGACTGAAAACGAATGGCCCTTCCCCACTGTTGGGTGCTCTGCATGGAGACAGCTAATCATCTGCGCCATGTCCTAACAGGAATGCTACAGGGATTAAAGGACGGAGAGAGGAAAGCACAATTCATGTAGAAAAGATAAATAAAAAGCTGAGAGACGCTCAGGTCACAAAAACCTTTGAATATTCAAAAGAGAATTATTGTATTTATTCTATACTGATATGCAGCCTGTAAAGTAGTATACGCTAACTAACTAACTAACTAACTAACTAACTAACAACTTCCTTACTCCATTCCTGCCATCACCCTCATCTAACCGATCTAGAGAATTTGCATGGTGATGGCAGACTAGGAAGATTCCAGTTATACCTACCACCAATTTATTATGTGTCAATATGCTGTCATGAGTGTATTATAGATTGTTTTTCTCCCTGGAATTCTATGGAATACTCAATAGTACCCAAGATAAAGAAATGAAGCCTGTGAGCATGTAAAATTAACTAGTAACAGGAGTTTGTGGCAAAGGAGGGAAATACTTCCATAAACAGATTTTAGATTCTGTATTTCATATGTACATGATTGCTAGTTTTACCTCATATAAGCATATTTGATGGAAGGGCTGTCCACACTGGGGATTATCACATACTTGATCGGGAATGGCACCATTAAGGTGACGGGCATAACAGATTCCACAGTCCATGCTAAAGTCCTTCAAAAGAAAAGTTGTTGTTAGTATTTCTGTTTAATGTGCATATGGTAAGATTAGGAAGAATAAATATGACTACTTAACATTTGTTTTTATATCTGCTTTATAAAGTATGTTTCTGTATTGTGGAACATAAAAGCAGGTTATAACACCTAGTCATTTGCATAGTGTTCTTTTTGCACTCAAATACACACAGATTTCATTTCTGGCTGGCAAAATTTTTGCATTTTAGCAGTTTTTCCATAGACATAATCATGTCTGTATATACACAAAGACAGATCTGACACCAACTAGTGAACACCAAATCTCACAATTCTACAGCAAAAGAAAAAACGTGGCCATCGTTGAATGCTAACAGCAATGGCTCAGTCCAAAGTCAACCCTGCCTTCATTGTCTTTACAGTACCAATGATGCTGTTCACTGTTGAAAAACTACTGCTGTCCTTCACAAACTTATAGTAAGTTAATTAAAACTTTTTTGTAAGTTAAAAAAAAAAGTTAGGTAAAAAAATCCTAACATCTCATTAATGTCTCCTCTTTTCTTTCATTTTCATAAATGTAGCTGTCATTAACCACTTGCTGCTGATCATGAACAAAGCACATGTAACTCACCTAACAGAGGTTAACAAGTTCATTGATGAAAATGTTACCACCTAGTAAGGGTTAACAAGTTCACTGATGCCAATGTTACCAGCTAGCAGAGGTTAACAAGTTCATTGATGCCAATGTTACCAGCTAGCAGAGTTTAACAAGTTCACTGATGAAAATGTTACCACCTAGCAGAGTTAGCAAGTTCATTGATAAAAATGTTACTTGTAACTGAGGTCTGTGTTACAACATTTCTCCAAAAATTTTTTCACCCTGTTTTTCTAAGAGAAGCATTTAAATTTTATTATTTACAAAATGTAGACTATTAAAGAAATGTAGACTATTAAAGCAACAATTAAACTTACAGATTCTTCCAAGACAGTACGAGCTGGAAAATCGATTTCTAAAACATCTTTCAAATTTTGTAACAGACTATTTTCTGGATCCCTGAAAACAAAGGGGAAGAAAATCCCTATAAAGTTTGTTAGCCCATAGAACGGTACCAATTACATTGCCAAGGTACCTACCATAAATGTATGTTCCCACTCAGCTTGATTCCCAGGGGTTTTATCACTTTAAATAGTAAAAAGAGGGGAAAAGTTTTAATAATTTAGGCTTGGTTGCACTTGTTTTGAAAAGACCACTGCTACAGTATTTGATTACCTATTTGGCTTAAAATCTAAATTATGTATTTAGTTTAAAAAGTATATGGTTCAGAATGAGAAAAGTATTTAAAACAATTGTAATATTAATATTTTGGAATATTTAACAATATTAGACAGGATTTTATGAATCTGTTCCAGATCCTTAACTTGAAGATCTCATACCATGGTCAGCTCCAAGAAAGCAAAACTCGGGAAGCATGGTAGGGTGTCTGGGGTCTACCTCAATGTTGATGGAAACATTATTCCCTGAAATGAAACAAGAAGGCCTTTAGATGTGAGCAGCTCATCAAGCAAGCCAATATAAACTCAGAGCATTCGAACCTGGCCACCTATTTCATTCTTAGGAAAAACTAGCCAAATGGGTTTTTATTTTTATTTTTATTATTTAGTGTTCTGTAGAAGTAAATATATCCTTGTTTAACACAAAAGTATTTTTGAAATCACGATCATCATTAAAGATTCAGGGACCTCAAGTTCCAAAAGACAAGACCAAAATTTATATGATTAACTTAAATTGGTATTCTGGTAATTATGTTCCAGTAAAGTTTAATAAAAAATTTCAGTGGAATTATAAAGGCCTTTAATATATAAAAAAAATCATACACTTAAGTAATGAGCTAAATTACTTTTCATAACTTTCTTTACAAACTTAGCATTTCATGTAATTATGGTCCAAAGTAAGAAAGAAGAGTGTTATACCTGGTAAAAACTGACATGTCTAAGAAAACTGACATAAAAACTGTGTGAATAATTATGCTTTATGAAAAGCTGAGACTTTTCCTTGTAAGGTAACAAATGTTTAATTCACGTTAAACAGATGTTTTTCTTAATACTTCAAAGAAGCTATTTTTGAAGCTAAAAAAATGACTTCACTCAGCACTAGATTCTTTTACAGGTTTAACTGTTCTAAGTATGTACAAATTCCACAAAGCTACCTACTAGTTGGTGAAGGTATGTGGTATATTTAAGATGAATTTGGATGCATTTTTATAACAAAAGTGATATGATAAATTCTATAAGCTTTTTGCTAAAGTTGGAAATAATTAAATACACAAATCTGGCAAAAATGCTCAAAGTGAAAACTTAATATATGGTATAGCCATTCAATGAGGAAAATTAAAACTGTCTACTTCATTTGTCAGTACAGAAGACACTTCATCAGCCTTGAACAATGTTGTCTACTACAGACCAGAAAGAGCTGTCTTTTAGGCAATGGCTGTAGGAACACATCTTTCAACTCAAAGGTTGGCCCAAAGATGGCAAATCATTGCCTGAAGCATGAAGAAGAACTAAAAGCAAATACAGAGCATGAATACAACTTGGCTGTTCGAGATGAACTATATGAAATCTAATAGAAACCATGGTTCAAGGATAATTATTTTAATGGGGCCATGATGATAACAAATCATGACATTTCTCTAAAGACATGTTTTCAGTATTACTATCTACTTGTTGACAAATATAATTGGTTGATTACCCCAAATTAAATACTATTAGACTTTTAACTGGAAAGTAACAATAGTGCTAGCAAAGTGCTGCAGCCACCATACTCTGCAGCCTTGCCCTCCTATTCTGCTATATATAAAGTATAGAAGCTGCTCACTGACTTCAGTTGGATCCAGAAACTATTTCAAAATGTCTATGGGAATATATCCTTTACAGTAGCACTTAACAAGACTTCAAAAAAAGAGGAAAATATTAAATGGGCAGACTGTAAGCAGATATTACCATAATGTGGTGAGAAATATAGTTAAAAGATTTGAATCTTTACAAAGGTTGAACTCTAAAACAGGCTTTGCTTTGTTTGCTCGTGAAGCAAACAGCCATCTGACCACGGGACTGCACACAGGCCGTTTGTGGGAGAGGAGGGCTCACTTGCTGCCTCACATCTACCCTCAGTAGCATGACCCAACTCAGTGCCCTCCCCCTACTTTTTGTCAGGAAGTACTGCCGGATCTTAGCTTCCACAGAAGATGAAGACATC